AGGCAAAATGCTTGAATGTGCGACTAGCAAAGTACTTAGTCCACAACTATATATCGAAACTGATAAATATTGTCCTTTAAATTCGCAATCAGGCTGTGAGTCGTAAATCCAAAACTAGAGAAATAACAAAAGCAAATTGGGAAAGAGAAAAATTCTACTAAAAGCCATTGAAAACTTTGAGTAAAAACAACGAAAGTGCCTCAAGCGCAGGAGAAGCTAATGAGCAAGTTGTAATTGATTTTACCTTGCAACTAATTGGTGGAAACGTGGTCTTTAAATTCTCCACCAATCACAAAGCGAAATCAGCTATGCAAAGCCAAAACTAACCACGATTGTCTTAAACTATCAGTGGAAACTTTCATTTTGAGTCAAAAATGCATTTTTGTTTTTTAAAAAAAATCCCATTATAAAATTCGATTTTTTTACATCTTGGTCACCCCATTAACAGAGAAGATCTCTTTCTCAACTCAGATACCCTCATGGCAGCAACAGGATTCAATTTCTTGTGCATACCCATGCTCTATGAAATGACAGCTTCCATAGTTCATTTCACGCGTTTTTGTTCCAGCTAAGGAAGCCTCTTAATAAAAAAACATGTGTGGAAGACTTGCACAATTGAAGTTATCGCGGACTTTTCGACTTTTCTCGAGCAGTGGGTGTTGTGTTCCGTTGATTTAAGTCAGACGAAAAACTACAACTCAATACAAACTCAACGTCTATATTTTCAACATGGCGGTTCTCAAATCTACAAAGTATACACGTGGCATGCGTGCGCATATGTGACAGATACCGCGGGCCGGCATGCCCGACATAGCAGTGGGTAATGCATTAAGCCTCTACACCCTAACATCAGTATCCATTTTCTCCATACTGATCTCCATACATTTCCTATAAGGCTGACAAGGAGAATTTGTTTAGCAATCAAGAGCGTCTTTGGTTGGTGATTGTTTTCTTTATTCTTGTGACCTTAATGTGTGATCCAGGGGTAATAATCCATGGAGAAATTTTCTTTTGTTTTCTTACAATGATTGCTGGTCCTGGTATTGTTGGTCTGGCAAAAAATGATCTTTTAAAGATGGCCGGTGACTCAACCTGTAAACTATCAGAAACTCCATGAAATAGACTTACATGTATGTGAAATTTTGTCCTCTTGGATGAGGAGGACAGCATCAGAAAAATTGAACAAAATCACTCAAAAGGGTTCCTCACCTGTCAGTATTTCGCCCTAAAGTTCCTACTATTAGGGTGGAAATTGTGTCTGTTTCACCGTGTCGAAGACAGGACTTTTACTTCATCATCTCTAATTCATCACCCTCGGTCTGGCTAGATGGGGCAAAATTCCTCTCATGTGTATGCTTGTGGATGAAGGTGATCACTCACGCAGTAAGCTTTAGCCTCTTCTACTTTCTAAGCAAAGTGATTGACCATAATCTTATCCTAAACCCTTACTAAGCCCCTTTCCGAAAAAAGAATTAATGAACACCCAGTAGTCCTGGTTGATGCTTGCTACTTCAGCTCCTTTCTTCTCTTGCCCTTCTATGGTTGCTGTTGTCTTTTCTCTAGCTTGGTGGCTCAGTTTCCATCGACTGAAGTAGCGAGATGTATCGCCACGTCCTCCTGGACGGAATGCATCTCCGTGGCAGAGTAACCACGGGTAATTTGTCAAATTTTTTCGTCGCTAGTCGTTGATTTAAACTGTGTTATTCAAGAGTGCGACGTAATTTGCTCTCAACCCTGATTCCAGCTCACGTGCTATTCGCCAAGCTATCCACGTCTCACACCGTGCCTTCCAAAATAGACTGAGATTAATGGGAACTTTCGATTTCGTGAGTGATCGAGTATTCGGCCTCTGTCAGTTTGGCTTGACTCTTGGAGTGTCATATGCAAACACTGCGAGTTCTCAGTGAAATGACTAACAAGAGCGTGCCACCTTAACAGATGACACCTGCCAATCATCAGACGTGCCAGTCTTCTTGAATAAAGACTATCAATCCTTGAATCCTTCTCCTGTACCTTCATTGTAACCTTCACTGTAACCAGAGGCGGTTGAAGCAAAATATGAGGCAGAATATGAGGCACAATGGTCTCGGTTTTTCAGGTTTGGTCTTTAAATGCTATACTCTGATAGTTGCCAAGGAAATTACATTGCGAAGTAGGCTACAGTGTAGCATCTCTGCATTTCGAGTGTGGCATATTGAATAAAATCTCTCATTTTGATTGGTTAACGAAGCGAAGTATTTAGCGTGGAATTTGGAGTTGAAAACGAGGCTAAGTGATATCGTTTTGCATCTACGTATACATAACAACTATAAATAGTGCTGTTACTTTTTTTNTTCGAACACCTCACACAAACACAAAGTTTCCCACATCCAAAGAATCTGGTTTGAGCGGTTAGCTGAGATGTTGAGGTCTGTATTATTTTGCTGTTTTTCAATCTACACTTGCACTTGGTAGCAAATTGCGTAAAAAGTCCAATTTTCTATCGCATCCACGCACGTTCCATTTTCTCATTTTGTTACTATGGAATGAATCACTAGAAAAGTTAAATTTCAAATTAATCGCGCTTGCATAGCAATCGACAGAAGTTCCAATCTGCAGTTTCGTACTTCAGCTAGGAACACTGTTGGTCGTAAAATGTTCAGGGTTTGCATTAATATAAACTGGTTGAGATTATATTTTTCTTGCACGAGACGATAACCAGACAAGTTTAACGCCAAAGTAGAACTGCAAAACAAAAAAAATTAAGTCCAGCTGAGATGTTAAATGAGGATAGATGAGCTTCAAAACTTTTAAATCCTATTTTGTTTCCTCTTTCCCTTTTTTTCGTGATCAGAAACCGATATTGGTGACTAATGTTTAGAAAACTCTTGGCGAAAGTCAATCGGGCCAATACGTAATTGTTCGTCGAAAAGCTTTTCAAATGAATTACTTCAGACAATCGAAGCAATTTTTCGTCGCTACCGTTTTTTTTAATGTTAAGCACCCTCTTTATATAAGATCTCGAAAAAAGAGTATTCTATTTGACATCCTATATGTCTTTTACGTGAGTCATTATATTCGATCCCAACACGAAAGGCAGGCGACAATTACTGCGAGTAACAATAAATGCGTTGTATAAATTACACCGTAATCCTGAAGAGTAGGAGTGGGTCATTATATTTTAGAACCGCTTTCAAGGAAAAACTCCTTGCTAGTTCTCGAACGTATTGAAAATGAATAATCTATTTTTGGGCTTTAGTTTGCCAACTATGGTTGAATTTGATGGACTGGTCTGTGTTGGATGTGAGTCGACTTTAGAGTGAAAAAAACACTTTGGCAAGTTGTCAAAACCAGTGGTTAAAAAATAATACTGGCACGGCTATACTGATTACCTGAATTCGTTTTACTTCAACATTTGCATCAACCCCC